ATTACAAATAAAATCTTAAAATATAAATTAAACAACACACATAGGTAAGGGACTAAATCGAAATAAATTTAAAATGTGAGGTTTAAATTAATATAAAAATGACTAAATTAATCATGTTTTATATAATTTACATTTAAATAATTTTATTAATTTTATTAAATAATTTTATATAATATGTATGTATATATTAATGTAATAATGTAATTCTTTTGTGATTTGAAAACACGGGATTGATTTTTGGTGCGGAAACAATCGCGCCATTATTTGGTAATTTGGGCAAAATTTTAAAAAATTGTAGTCCTGTCACCAACTTTGAATTTTATTATTTTGAATTTTAAAAACAAACACGGGAATTTTATTTGACAATTTGGGAAACAATCGCGCCTGAATTTTATTGATTATAATTTTTAATATCTTGACTATAAATTCGAATGTATGATATGTATATATAATTTATTAATGCATGCATGTATAATATATATGCATATATGTATAATTTATTAATGCATGTATGATATGTATATTAATGTAATATGCATAGTATTTCTATAAACTATATAAGCAATTTACTTTATATAGTTTATATATATATGCTATATAAAGTAAATTACTTATATAGTTTATAGAAATACTATGCATAAATTATATAAAGTAATAAAATATATAGTTTATAGAAACCCTAAACCCTAAACCATACATCCTAACTTTAAACCATGAACACTAAACCATGAACCCTAATATAAATGGACAAACACTAATATGACATGTACTACTATTTATGAACCATATAATATGGAATGTGACATACTAATTATTTAACACATAATTAATCATGTTTTATATAATTTACATTTAAATAATTTTATTAAATAAATTTATATAATATGTATGTATAAACCATGTATAGTATATATATATATATATATATATATATATATATATATATAAAGTAATAAAATATATAGTTTATAGAAATCCTAAATCATAAACCATAAACTTTAAATCACAAACACTAAATCATAAACCCTAATGTAAATAGACTATCACTAATGCATATATATTTGTAATAAAAGAGTGGGCTTACATTGGGCCTATGTAAACTAATGTTAATGGACTAGCACTATTGCAAATGGACTTATTTTTGGGTTTTATTATTACTTATTCATAACAACAAAATAAATGAGCCATTAATGTGAATTAACCTAACATACAACTAAAATACAAATTATGCAATTTAAATTAATATGACATGTACTACTATTTATGAACCATATAATATGCAATGTGACATACTAATTATTTAACACCTAATTAATCATGTTTTATATAATTTACATTTAAATAATTTTATTAATTTTATATAATATGTATGTATAAACCATGTATAGTATATATAAACTATATATATATAAACTATATAAAGTAAATTACTTATATAGTTTATAGAAACACTATGCATAAAGTATATAAAGTAATAAAATATATAGTTTATAGAAACCCTAAACCCTAAATCATAAACCCTAATTCTAAACTTTAAACCATAAACACTAAACCATAAACCCTAATTTAAATGGACTAGCACTAATGCATATATATTTGTAATAAAAGAGTGGGCTTGTATTGGGCCAATGTAAACTAATGTTAATGGACTAGCATTATTGCAAATGGACTTATTTTTGGGTTTTATTATTACTTATTCATAACAATAAAATAAATGAGCCATTAATGTGAATTAACCTAACATGCAACTAAAATACAAATTATGCAATTTAAACTAATATGACATGTACTACTATTTATGAACCATATAATATGCAATGTAACATACTAATTATTTAACACCTAATTAATCATGTTTTATATAATTTACATTTAAATAATTTTATTAATTTTATTAAATAATTTTATATAATATGTATGTATAAACCATGTATAGTATATATAAACTATATATATAAACTATATAAAGTAAATTACTTATATAGTTTATAGAAACACTATGCATAAACTATATAAAGTAATAAAATATATAGTTTATAGAAACCCTAAATCCTAAATCATAAACCCTAATTTAAATAGACTAATACATATATATTTGTAATAAAAGAGTGGACTTGCATTGGGCCTATGCAAACTAATGTTAATGGACTAGCACTATTGCAAATGGACTTATTTTTGGGTTTTATTATTACTTATTCATAACAACAAAATAAATGAGCCATTAATGTGAATTAACCTAACATGCGACTAAAATACAAATTATGCAATTTAAATTAATATGACATGTACTATTATTTATGAACCATATAATATGCAATGTGACATACTAATTATTTAACACCTAATTAATCATGTTTTATATAATTTACATTTAAATAATTTTATTAATTTTATTAAATAATTTTATATAATATGTATGTATAAACCATGTATAGTATATATAAACTATATATATATATAAACTATATAAAGTAAATTACTTATATAGTTTATAGAAACATTATGCATAAACTATATAAAGTAATAAAATATATAGTTTATAGAAACCCTAAACCCTAAATTATAAACCCTAATTCTAAACTTTAAACCATAAACACTAAACCATAAACCCTAATTTAAATGGACTAGCACTAATGCATATATATTTGTAATAAAAGAGTGGGCTTGCATTGGGCCTATGTAAACTAATGTTAATGGACTAGCACTATTGCAAATGGACTTATTTTTGGGTTTTATTATTACTTATTCATAACAACAAAATAAATGAGCCATTAATGTGAATTAACCTAACATGCAACTAAAATACAAATTATGCAATTTAAATTAATATGACATGTACTACTATTTATGAACCATATAATATGCAATGTGACATACTAATTATTTAACACCTAATTAATCATGTTTTATATAATTTACATTTAAATAATTTTATTAAATAATTTTATATAATATGTATGTATAAACCATGTATAGTATATATAAACTATATATATAAACTATATAAAGTAAATTACTTATATAGTTTATAGAAACACTATGCATAAACTATATAAAGTAATAAAATATATAGTTTATAGAAACCCTAAATTCTAAATTATAAACCCTAATTTAAATGGACTAGGACTAATACATATATATTTGTAATAAAAGAGTGGACTTGCATTGGGCCTATGCAAACTAATGTTAATGTACTAGCACTATTGCAAATGGACTTATTTTTGGGTTTTATTATTACTTATTTATAACAACAAAATAAATGAGCCATTAATGTGAATTAACCTAACATGCAACTAAAATACAAATTATGCAATTTAAATTAATATGACATGTACTACTATTTATGAATCATATAATATGCAATGTGAAATACTAATTATTTAACACCTAATTAATCATGTTTTATATAATTTACATTTAAATAATTTTATTAATTTTATTAAATAATTTTATATAATATGTATGTATAAACCATGTATAGTATATATATACTATATATATATAAACTATATAAAGTGAATTACTTATATAGTTTATAGAAACACTATGCATAAATTATATAAAGTAATAAAATATATAATTTATAGAAACCCTAAACCCTAAATCATAAATCTTAATTCTAAACTTTAAATCATAAACACTAAACATAAACCCTAATTTAAATGGACTAGCACTAATACATATATATTTGTAATAAAAGAGTGAGCTTATGTATTGGCCTTTGTAAACTAATGTATTGCCAAAATTATTTATATTAATAATGTAAAACGTTAATATATATTACATAATAAATAATTTCATTATTAATATTATTTTGTCTTTATATAAATTAAACTATATAATTTATATAAATTAAACTATATTAATTTTCCTTTGCATTATTAATCATGTTTTATCTAATGTACTTTTAAATAATTTTTAAAATTTTTTAAATAATTTTATATAATAGGTATATTTATTAATTTAATTATCAAAATAAATATTTTATTATAACATTTAAAAAGTAATCATATTAATTTTTTAATTACATCATAAACTAAAAAACTCATAATTTTATTAAAATCTTATAATTTCATCCATGGTAATATATAAGTCAGGTAAATATCAGATCAGATCATTAACAAGTTGGATCATTTACAGGTCAGGTTAAAAACATGTCATGTTGAAAACAGGTCAGGTTAAAAACAAGTCAGGTTGAAAACAGGTCGGGTAATACCAGTTATTGGCCAGGTCAATCTCGGGTTCGGGTTCATATCAGTCAGTTGCAGTTCGGGTTCGGGTATCATATTTTCGGTTAAATTCGGGTTCAGGTCGTTCTCAGGTCGGATGCAGGTCGGGTTCGGATCCACAATTTCCAGGTCCAACTCGGGTTCAGGTCAACACCAGTTCCGACTCGAGTCGGTTTCGAATCGCTACAGTGCAGATCAAAAATAATTTTAACTCGAGTCGATTTCAATCAGTTTTACAGATCGGGACATACCAAGAACGAAGTTTCATCATCATCTCTCTACACTAATTATGAAGTCAAGTCAACCGTAGCCTGTAGGACATACCAAGAAGGAAGTTTCATCATCATCTCTCTACACTAATTAAGAAGTCAAGTCAACCGTAGCCTGTAGGACATACCAAGAAAAGTCTTCAAAACCCAAGATTCTGTTTGCACCCCAAAAACTGGCTAATCTATGGTCCCAAAAACTTCACCATTTTTAGTCAATGTCTTCAACCTCTTCTTCTTGGAAATTTCCTCTGTCCAGCGAGAAATGTTTAGAGTTGATATATATTAGAGAACATTTCCATGTTTGCTATAAGTTCCTTCTCACAATCTTCTTCTCCGAAGCAATTCAAGTCCATAGTTATGGATTGTTCCACATTCTCTACACCAAAACTTTCGTTTTTTCGTGCTTTCTTGTTGTTTATCATCTTCCCTTTGTTGTTCCTTAATATAGTCTCTGGCACTGCAACTGAACTTAATTATGGTCGTCACTGTAACTCAGTCGTTCATGAATCGGCACCAGGTGATGAAGAGTTCAATAACATGCCTTTATTTTGGACGTCAGAATGGTTACTTCAGTGGTGGGGATAATGTCCTAAGCAATCGTTCAGTTATGTACTATCCCCCGGAATCAAAAGCAGTCGTTTTCGAAACTCACCACGTATACGCAACTGATGTCGAGGATGTGTTCAAGGTGGAAGGAAACCTGATCTTCAAAACTTCGTATTACTACGAACAGAGTTTCAACCGTGGCGGCTCATTCATTTCGAGTTCGAGCGATTCCAGAGATCGCGGAATTCTGGACTTCGATTTTCATGGCTTCTGGTCTCGAACCACTGGGAAGCTTTGCATGGTGGGATCGAGCTATACTTACTCCGATGAAGGTAAATTGCTTCAGCTTGAAGCTGTTCTTAAGATTAATAATCTTAAGAGTTCAAGTAATATCAGCACGTTAGTCACAGGGACCATTGCTAGCTTGAAGTCTGCTAATGATCCAAATTACTTTGAGAAAATATCACTGCTGATGTTTCCTCAAGTGAATTACGGTTACACAATTAGCCAAGGGTGTCCCCTGGGAACCGATGTCCAACCGAAGTTGTCCCTCAGCTTGTCACGAACTCGAACTATTTGCGATATGTTGTCTGGGGGAGAAAATGCTTTCGAACTGGAGTATGCAAGTGGCTGTGATTCTTCAAAGAGTTGCAGTCCATTTGGAGATAACATCGGATATTTGCCACCCGTGATGTCGTTGAGTACGATTCAATGCTCAGCAGATGGGCTAAGCTTGAGGTTTCTGATAGAATTTCGGAACAATAGCTACAGGGGATATTATATCTGTCCCAACATCATCACTTCATTAATTGGAGAAGGAACTTGGGATGCAAAGAGCAATCGGCTTTGTATCGCCGCTTGCCGAATCTATGATGCATCTAGCTCCTTGGAGACGTCTCGTGTCAGAGACTGCACTACACGGTTAAGCTTAAGATTCCCAGCAGTCTTGTCTATCAGACGCACAGGTACTGTTGTAGGTGAAATCTGGAGCCTTAAGAAGAGGAATGAAGCTGGTTTCTTTGATAGGATTGAGTTCCGAAATACTGGCCATTATAGTGGAAAGATTCAACTTCAAGGTTTGAAGTATGAAGATGGACAAGGTGAAGAAATCTTGTCCAAAGAAGAATCCTAGGACTAGGAGCAGCAGGGTACAGTATCCAGATGCTTATTCTGGAGACATGGGTTTTAGAATGTCATTCCTCAATGGTTCCAAAGTAAATATCGGATGGGGTTCTTCGGATATTCTCACGGTTGGTGATCAGTCGTATCAGAGATTTCTATATCTAATACCATCCTCGAGCTCAAAGCCTAAACATCCTGGTGTTAACTCTAATTCCAGCAGCGGCTCGCTTAATGTCAGCTATAAAATGAGAATTACACTACCTACCTCGGAAGTCTATCCTGGCCTTAATCCAGTTAAGAACTCTTCAAATGGATATCTGGGAACGAAACTCTGGATTTCTGCTGAAGGGATTTATGATACTGCAACAGGTAGCCTATGCATGGTTGGCTGCAGCCGTTTAATGTCGGGTGAGAAATCGTTTTCAAGTCATTCGATGGATTGTGAGATTCTTGTGAATGTCTATTTTCCTCCACGGAACTCAGACAGGAGAAGTAAGATCAAGGGAAGCATCGAGAGCATGCGCAAGAATACCGATCCTTTGTACTTCACGCCTATGCAGTTTTCGGGATGGGCTCATTATCACCATTGGATAACCGAATCGATGTGGAGAATGAATTTTGAGATGATCATGTCGGTCATATCCAACACTCTTGCAATTATCTTTGCAGCGTTTCAAATCTTTCATGTTCGGAAGCAGCGTGGCGCTGGTCCTTTGGTTTCACTTCTCATGCTTGTTATTCTAGCCTTGGGACACTTGATCCCTTTGGTTCTAAATCTCGAAGCAATGTTTGAACAAGATAGCGAAAGATCAGTCTTGATTAGAGGTGGAACATGGATCGAAATGAATGAGGTGATCATTCGGGTTGTCACAATGGTGGCTTTTCTGCTGCAAATCCGTCTTCTGATGCTCTCATGGACTGCTAGATGCTCCACTGGAAAGAAAAAAGCCTTGTGGACTGCAGAAAAGAGGGGGCTGTACGTGTGTTTTCTGGTGTACATAACTGGAGCTATGATCGCGTTTTTCATTAAGTCGAGGCAGAGTGTACATCAAACCAGAAGGCATTCTTGGTACTACAAGGATGAAATCATTTTGGGGAGTTCAAGACCTTATGCTGGTTTAATCCTGGATGTCTTTCTTTTCCCTCAAATCATCTTCAACATGCTTCAGAATTCAAGAGAACCAGCTCTGTCTCGATTCTATTACATCGGAATCACTGTTGTTCGCCTGTTGCCCCATGGATATGATCTTTACAGGGCAAACACCTATGCTGATATAGAAGACACATACATTTATGCAAATCATGCTGCAGACTACTACTCAACTGCTTGGGACTTCATTATTATTGTGTTGGGTCTATTCTTTGCAGCAACCATACACTACCAACAGCGTCTCGGTGGTCGATGTTTTCTTCCAAAGAGATTCCAGGAATCTGTGATAGATGAGGAACTTTCAGTGGATTCAGAAGAACAGTTGCCACTGAAATATAGCACTTAGTGTCCTGCTTTGTGTTAACTAGTGGTGTTTATCAAGGAGATGTTTCTGGTACTATTCCTAAATAATTGTGTATTCTGCTCTTTTGTTTTGTTAGCTGAATTAAAATATTGTAATATAAAAAGTTATATATAAAATTGTATAATAAATTCACAGCTCTGAATGAGTTTTAGGTTCAAAGTGGGATCATAAGAGAGGGCAAGGTTCAAGGTTCAAACATGTAGAATACATATTTCCATTACATTAAAAGCATGGTTAAACACATATATTAATGCTTATATAACAAACAGAAACACAGATACTAATACAAATATGACAGATACAAATTCTTTTACACATAATTTTTAATGGCAGAACTGTATCCACTTTGTTCATCATAGTACCTAGACCACAACATTATGCCTTCGTACTTGGAAGAATCTTTGATGGCAGGAAGTACTTGAGAAGTAAGATCAGCTACAGGGATAAAGCCGCTACCGGCTGCCTTGGGTGATGCCGGTAGTCCTAAGAAAATTTTGGTGGCTGGAACATAGGTAGTCCACTGCTTCCATGCATTTTCAAGGTTCCCAATATCACCAGCTGTGTATTGGCATGTAGGGTTGTTATAGAATTGTACCCAAACATAGTCAAAAAGGCCAGTCTTAAGGGCACCTCCAACCCAAGCATCCGGGAATGGACATTGAGGGGCTGCTGTCAAGTATACTTTGGTGCCGCCACGTTTGCCATACCCGGAGAGGTACCTGGCAAGATCATCCCAATGTTGGTTCGTTCCGCCTTCGATAACAAAATCAATTCCATCCAAAACCGCATTACCGAAAGGTCGAGAAACCGATTTTCCGCCCAAAAAATTGTTCCACAAGTAGGTTGCAACCTGTCTAGCATCATGGGATGAGGAAAGGTAATAGCCCCCTGCTCCTCCTCCAATAGAAAGCATTACTTTAATCCCCTTTGCTTGACATGATTTGATGTCTGAGCTTAAATTAGTGCATCCATTGCTATAAGGATCACAATGACCAGCAAGGTTGATCATCGGAGTCTGACCATTTCCGAATGTGGGAAGGAATGCTAAGTTGACAAAGCCATAGTTTCCGGTCGCACACGACTCTGGTAATGTGCCTTCGTTTCCACTCTGACCCCAGTAGATCGCAATGTCACCGACATCGGTACCCAAAACAAGCACCAGAATCACTGAGCTGATGAATGCAAAGGAGATTGCCGACTTAATAGCCATCTTTCGTTTCTGGTCTGCGAGTGTTCGAATGTTTTTTTATGCTTAAATTGTTCAAGAGATGATCCTTTTACTGGTGATAAGGCTTGCCAGAAACTAAATAAAATTTAAATTTCTTCTGAACTACAGCCATGAAATTCAAGGCATTGTTTGCTATTTTGTTAGCTTATGATTGTTTCTTCTCCCTTGAAATGCTCATATTGGAAAGTTTATAAACAGATGCATGAGGCATGACAAAAGCTAGAAACATTCAAGTATATAACAACATGAATTAGTAGCCGATAAAGTGGTCATCAACTCCCCATTTTATTTGTTCATCTTTGTCATTTTATTGCCAAAAATACAATGCAAAGTAATGAAAAAAATGTTAGTCGGACTCTTTTAGCTTTTATAAATTCTTTTGTGTTAAATGTAAGGATGAGTGTCGATTGAATTGAGTCGAGTATGAATAAATTCGAGTTAGTTGAATTATAAGTACTATTTTATTATTCAAAGTTTTTTTAAATTTTAAAGTCAAGTTTATCATATTTATATTTAATTTTTTATAAATATTATAATTGTAAACACCATTTTTTATTTTATTATTATTTTATTTGTAAAAAATTAATATTATAATGTTTCAATTAGGATTATTAATACCCAAACCACCCTACCCTATGTAAAAGATTGGAGGCTTTGTCCCTAAAAAGAGGAATGAAAGAGACTTCTTGAGTTCTTTCTAACTTTTTCTCTCCATTTACTGCTTTCTTATCTAGCTTTCCTTTTTTGTTTGGTTTTTGGGTTTTCGTGGGGGTTCACGGGTAGAGGGAGTGGCCACGGTTGAGCCGTGGCCGGCGTGTAAGATAGACCCTCTCACGGCTAGGAAACTTCGGTTGTTGGTGGTCGGCGAAAGATAGGAAGTTTCGACCGAGAGGTCGATGGTAGGAGGGTGGTTTTCGGGGTTTCGGTTGTGTGAGTGATGAGCGAGGGGTGAGGGTCGTTTATGTCGTCTAGATCTTCACCGGCCGGTCGAAAACGATCGTGAGGGAGCGAGGGGGTCACAAGGTCACGGTGGCCGGCGTTGAGGGTCGGTTTTACGTCCTCGGCGTTGTGAAGAGAAAGAACGGGGAGAGAAAGAACGAGAGAGAGTTTGAACGGGGGAAAAGGAGTTCGGTCGGTCCTCCTCCGGTATCGGTCGAGGTCGCCGATGGGTATAGGTCGGTCACCGACTCGGTGGCCGGTCGTCTGAGGGTCGGTGTGTGGCTGGCGAGAATGCGTTTGAAGCTTTGATAATTTTCTAGCAAAGTTACGTGTAAGGAATGATATTTTGTTTGTATGAAAAATGGGTAAATCACTCACCAGGTTCTCATATTCTAGCTTCTTTTTGCTTTGTGTTTCAGAGTTAAATCGCATTCCAGATCCTTCAGTTTCAGCGTGTTTTACGTTTTGGTCACAATTAGGGTAAAATCATCATTAAGCTCCTCATATTTTAGCTTCTTTTGCACTCTGGTCATTGACTTTGTTATTTATTTTAATATGTATATTAATTTTATTAATTTTCGAATTTAATCACTATTTTTTATGTTTATTCATTTTAGCCACAGTTTGGAGTTTGTTTCTTATGTTATTATGATGTGGATGTGATATTTACAATTTATTCATTTTAGTCATTTTTTATTTTCTGATTTGGCTACTATTTTTTATTATATTTTGGTCCCGTATTATTCATCAAATTAATTTCAGTTCTTTAATTATTGCACTTTAGTTTTTGTTTAATTTATTTTAGTCCCATGAATATATATATACATATATGCATGTTTCATGTTTTTATCATATTGAATGTCTTATTTTGCTATCTTGCATTGTGGTCCTTATGTTTATGATTTTATTTTATTAAAGCACTTATATTTGTGTGATAATTATTTTTGGGTCTTTGATTTTTATTGTGTTTATACTTTTATCATTTTAGTTTAAACTATCATTATTTAGCATGATTAATATAATTTGGATTAATTGCCTTAATTTCTTATTTTGGTCAAATCAAATTGTTTAATCTCGAATTCTTGGGAGAAGTTATAATATTCTTTTTATTTCAGTTGTAAAGAGAAATATTCGTCCTAAAATATTTTAGGGATTATTTTCTCTTCGATTGGAAATATTAGAATATTTTTCATTTCTCCTTAGAATTTTCTATTAAATAAAAATTGCATGGTTGAATTTGGAATAATGGGATTGTAACTTAAATTTGTATTCGAATTTTTAGATTTTCACTATTAGAGACAATTTATAATCGATGGGTACTAATTTTGGGCGTTATAAGGGTGCTTATCCTTCCCCACACGTAATCGATCACCGAACTCCTTTTTTATTTCAAAAAAAAAATTATCTCTGGTTATACGTAGACTGATTTATCTTTTAAAATGATGTTTTTAAATAAAAAATCTTTTAAAAGAAAATTTATAGGTATTCGACCTACTTAACCCAAAAGGTCGATGGCGACTCCAAAATATTTCAAAACCTTTTCAAATAAAAAATCCCAAGTCGTACTAAGTTTTTTTCTCTGCCCAGACGAAAATCGGTGTCGACAATAATACTCATTGATTTCAATTTAAATGACTCTAACTAAATACGACATACATATATATATATATAATATTATTGAACAAATCAAATACCATCTAAAAATATATAATATGTTTATAATGTCATTTAGTAAAGAAGAGATTTTGAGGATAAAATATTGATGAGATAATACAAGTAGTCAAGTAATTGGTAGGAAAAAAGATTCCATCAATTTTAAAAACAAAGTTTTCAGTAAATGAGGTTTTTTAACAGTTAGCCTAAGAAAATATTTGCATTTAAAAAAAAATCCATCAATTTTAACATTACCTAACATTCATCTCAAACTATCTCTGCTTTATGGAGACATTAATGATTAATTTAAATTGGAAAATACAATTCTCAACTCCTATTCCATGAGAGATTTAAACATACTAAGACAAGTTTCTCTCACGCATTAGAGATTCAATCTTCTCCACATCCTCAGGTGTGTCAACTCCATGAGCCTCATGCTCAACCTTTATCACCTGCCCAAAATCAAACATTTTCAAATGAATTTATAATCTTTACACATATCTTTCTCTTTTATGCCTATCATTTACAAATTCTAAACGCACATCAAACGAAAATGACAGTCTATATGCGATAAAGAATATGCACAAAAAGTGGTATTCAAGGTAATTTTACGTTACCAGAAGAAGGATTAAACAAGTACAACATTTGTATCATACCTTAATCTTATAGCCATTCTCAAGGACTTTAAGCTGTTCCAGGTCCTCTTCTAGTTGCAATGGTGTAGGCTGAAGCTTTGGATATATTTTCAGAAACTTCGAATCGTAGCTCTGTTTGGACATTAATCAGTACTATTAACTGAAGAAACAAATAACTCCATTAAAAAGATTAAAGAATGCAAAAGAGCATCTTGATACCTGAATTCCAAGATGAAGCAAGTAAGGAAACCGTGGATTAACTTTCGCAGATCTATATCAAGTTGATTGAAAAATACATTAGAACAAATGCAATTAGAAAAAAAGATGTCAAAACAAAAGAGCATCTTACTTGTTAAATGGTATTAGTCCTCTAGAAAAATAAATAGCATAACCACGGTTATCAACCACACATTTCACTCTATTTGGATCAAAAGCGTCTTCAGGTTTCAAAGATGTCACGGCAGTGCTAAACACAGCATCTGGTGCTGCCTGCAACACAGACAGACCATTTTGACGCCACATGAAACAAAAACTTTTACACGGAACAAAACAAGTCACTGAAATGACACAAAAAGAGCTGCAGATACTACTTTACGGAATTCAGAATAACAAACCTGCAGTACTTTAACAATTCCATCTATTATTTCAGGTTCAAGAAGAGGTTCATCTCCTTGAATATTCACAACAATGTCGTACTTCTTCTCAAGCTTTTCAAGAGCTTCATAACATCTTTCAGTGCCTATAAGTTACCAAAGAAAGGGTCCACAATGTCAGCAAATCAAAGAATGAAATTAGAAATATGATGATAATCATCGCCCCACCATTTTGACAAGACTCTGATGTCATGATCACATCAGCACCAAATCCTCGACAGCATTCTACAATCTTTTCATCATCCGTTGCCACAACTACATCAGAAAGAAATAATGCAATGAGTAACAAAGCCAATTCAGACAAAAGATACAGGACATAAAAAATTCAGACAACTCACTAAACCGTCGAACTCAAAAGGTCAGAAGCAACCATTATGACATCCCTATTTATTATGCACTCATATTTTGTTCATAACACCAATCATAAAGTATAAATCACATATGCAAAGGATTGCGCACTATTCAATTGCTATATCAAGCAAAATTTCATGTCTTCTACATTCAGGCAAAAAAAAAAAGGCAGCTTATGCCAAATCAAAATGTGATAAACAAAACAGCACCAAGGTGAAAATTTCAGTCATCAATCATTGCACTAAACCTAAATTCATGCTTTTAGATTATATCATCGACTTGGATCTTTCCTCCGAAATAGTTTGAATCACCAAAAAATCAAATCGAACTCAAGTAGTTAACTTACCTAGATGGTCCAACGTGGTTGCCAGTTTTGACCTTTCCCATGTCCTCTGTATAAGACCACCAGAATGTCAACAACACAGAAACATGTAATAGCATCAAAATTTGTGAAACATGGTTCAAATGTTAAAAATTCAGCAATAAAACTTCAACTTGTAAAAACCAAGTTTTTTTGTTTATCATCTTGGACAAAAAATTGATGTTGCTCATGTTTTAACTTCACTGAAATCAAATGTGGGAATATAATCATATATAATGTCATGCTTCTAAACATAAGCAAAAGAATGTTGAATCAAAAGTTCTAATTTTCAGCCTATAAAGTATTTCCTACCAATGTTGCCCGGATTCATTTTTCTTTCTGCGTCCAACACTCTCAAAAAATACAATAGTTCTACTTTTGAGTTCAACATGGATATGGAGATATGAACTCCAAAAATTCTC